AGAAGAAGAAGAAGAAGAAGAGAAAGATTCTAGACTCTTTTTGAAATGGAGAGTAAAAGTTTGGGGAACTTTTCATAGCCTGGCTAAAGTGAAAACTCGCCCTGAATATGTCCAGGAATTGATACACATGGGTCAGGTGGTTACCACTTAGTATGTAGCTCTTCTCTTCCTGTTCACTTAGTCCCTTTTCCCTAAAGCTAGTGGCCAGGTAGGTGAAGACAGATCAGAGGGACATGATGGAGGGAAAATGGTACCTGCTGAGGCCTGAAAATTCCCCTCAACATCCATTCCATCCCCTCAAAGCTCACCTCCCCCTCCCCGCTTCCTATCTCTGTGTTTAGCTGTCCTTCTGGCTCATTCTTTTGCTTTCTCTTTCTCTGTCATTCCTCTCTCTCTCTCTGTCTCTATCTCTGTGTCTCTCTCCTTATCTCTATTTTTCATTCTGTCTCAATCTCCATCTCTCACTCTTTCTGTCTCTATATTTTCCATCTCTTTCTGTTTTTCTGTCTCTCCATCTCTCTGTCTCTCTCTGTGTCTTTCTGTCTCTCCTCTCTCTTTCTTGCTCTCTCTCTCCCTCTCTTTCTATCTTTCTCCCCCATCACCATTCTCCTCTCCCTCTTCCTTCTCCCTGCCTGACCAAGCCCATTCCACCTTCACCCCACTCCTACTCCCTCAATGAGAAGCGTATGTAGGGCTCATCACTACAGCCTCTCTGCCTCCACCCCCAATGGCCCCAGTGCACCCTGTCCCTGCTCATAAGAGCATCATCATCCTCGGGTCCTGTCCCCATCACCCTGCCCAATCTCCTGCATCAAAACTGTGGGGCTTCTTCTCCCTGATGCTATCTGCTCTGCATCTGAGCTCTGACCTTCAAAGGATCTTTGATGCCAGTAGATTTGCATGGCATCTGTCACAGTGAGTTGCACATGATGGCCTCTGATAAACACTGCCTGTTGGTAATGATGATGAAGACAGGGCAATGGTGGCCATGACAATGACAGAAATAATGCCACCAGCTTTGAACGGTCCAGTCTGGGTCAGACAAAAGCAATTGGCATCTAAACACATCCTTTGGCATGAAGGTCCTTGCACATCAACCACAGCCAACCCTGAGCATTAAGATGTGGGAGCTAAGGCAGGAGCTATTTCTGAGCAGAGGCATATTTGCCATTTTTGAGCGGGACCATATGTTACGCTAATGATTCAAGACCATAAGCATCTGTAACATGCATTATTTGTACAAAGACTTCACAAAGAGACCATCTGATAATCTATGTGTTCGTCTCCTTTCTATCCTGTACAAAAATAAAAATTCAACATAGGACTTAAATGACTAAAATAAAGGATCTGTGTTCACAAATACAGGTGAAACAGTAGTCTAACACAATGAATTAATGATGCTCCAGGCTCCTTGATAGCTGGGCCATGAGGATGCAAAGACCCAGGAGTCACAGTGTGTACAGTGGGGAAGTCACACTTGGCCTTAAAAACTGGCCCGCTTTCCCCAGTGACGCACCTGTACCCAACGCAACGGTAAGCATGCGGGAAACAATCGGCCTTCGAGAGCTAACCATTGAATTGCCAGGCAATTTTAAAGGTCCATTATTTTTTTTAATGGAATAAGGATTTTTTTTTTTCTCTGAATGCCCTCAGGAGTGGTTTGGCTGGCTGGAGTGCTGTGGGGATCGAACTACAGCACCCTGAGGCTGAGAGCTTTGTGGAAGCAGCCACTTAAAGAACTGAGCTAGGGCCAGGCCCCCAAGGTCCATTATTAGCATAATCATCAGTAAAAGTTAGTTATATATGCTTAAAACTAAATTATAGTAAAACAAAGGTGCTAAATACTTAACAGACACCACTTCCAAATTATCTTACTAATATTTATGGTCTTGGAATTACTTGCCCTTCCTGTGCCTGTATACAGGATACTATAAAGTGGCACACTACTGTTGGAGCATCTTCATCTCCTCCCAAGTTTAAGGTTGTCCCCAAAAGCCTCACACAGGTAGCTTGAAATTGGCAATAATGGTATTTATGCCATGGAACTTGACAAAAACTATGGCTGTGAGGTTTTTTTTGCAAGCCAAATGTTACCAGTAGATCAGTAGATCTGAGTATCAGGAAAAACATATGCAAGCAAG